CATCAAAGGGTCATCGAAGGACTACGATCTTTTTAACCGAGGGTCTTTGCTAAAGCGTCCCCACGTTCGAGGGACATGACTGTTTTTATTCGAAAGCAACAAGTGAGGTTATCCTAGAGAGTGTGTGAGTAGTGATTCAATTCATTTATTTTACCTTGATTAGGGTTTTTCTAAGATTATTTTTATGTCTTGCCATACAATCCTATTAAACTAGACAAATATAAGGAAAGCAGTAAAAGCAGAAAATAAAGGTGCGGAAAGTGAACCTAAACTATTACAAGGCTTCGGGTAAATGGGGTACAAAACCATAAAATCGGGGGGAAAGGAAAGTAAAAACCCTAATTGAACTATCACAAATCGTAGCAGTTATATAATTGAGAAAAAAACTAATGTGAAAAATAATAAAGTACGTGAAGATAAAAAAACAAGACAAATTATTTATGATTTTGATAAAAATGATTTGATGATTAATCTAAATCCTAATTAGTTTTAGTTAGAAAAAAAAAGAAATTTTTAATGATAAAACCCTAAACTAAATTAATTGATTAAAAAAAGGGTAACTTAATTTAATTTAAAAAGTTAAGTTAATTTAGTTAATTTAATTAATTTAATTAAAAAAAACTAAGTCTAAATTGATTTTAATTAATTAAAATAAGTTAATTTATTTGTGTTAAAAAGTAAGTAAAACAAAATAATTATAAAAAAAAGAAAAGAATAGACCTGTAAGAAGTAAATCTGGGGGGTGCTGAAAACAAAACTGTTGGGCCCAAAATGCCTGCCTAAGATCTAGTGCTGTTGCTCCAAGTAGGTTCACCGTGGGTGTGGAGATTTAAAACGTTAGATCTGAGTTTGTAGAGATCAGATGGTGATGAGGTGAGGGATGCACAGGATACGCATGAGGATGGCTTCATTGAATCTGTAAAAATCATAAAAAATGAAAAAATTTGTCCCACGCCAGGATCGAATTCCTGTACAGGCATAGTAAGGTCTTAAGAGAAAGCACGCTTCCACTGGGGTGGCCATACATCCATTAGCATATGTCAATTCATAAATATATAGTGTAAAACAAATGCTAAAAGTCAGACAAACAAACACGCGCACATGAGTGAGACCCTGATGTTTTGAATGGACCAATCATAACATCCTATTTTGCCACGCATAGTCACCCACTAGTCAAACCACCATGGACGGTGGTTCCGGTAACCATATCCGATTGCATAAAAACCCAAACCTACGAAATTCAATCAAAACAAAAAAGGAAAATAACCCTAATTAACTAATTAAGGTCCTGCGATTTCAATGGGCATGTTAGTTTGGTCTAAAAACGATGGTAGTTAGGGTTTCGAAGGAATCTGATCTCGATGCCCTAGCCATGGTGAATTCTTATTCCAGCACTTTACCTTACAAGTAACACGTTAAAACACTTCTAAACATCAATATGAACATGAATATATGCAGCAAATTCATTTAAATCACATAGTTTAAAAGTTTGAATTAACGAAATTTTACCCAATCGGTGTGCTTGAGAGAGGGAGTTCTGGTGTACTTCAGGCTTGAGCCAGGGTGTGAATTGCCTCCTGGAAACTTCGGGAATGCGTTTGGATGATTGGAATGGATTGAAAATGGCTGGATATGAGAGTTTGTCTTTTCCCTAATTCTTTGAAAATTTAAGAATTTTTAGGAGTGCGTTTGAGGCAGGTTTTTTTGTCCCTTTGCATTTGATGTTGTAGTTATATATAAGACAACCAATTTAGCTTAACAAAAGTAAAAAAAATCTTGCATTATGAGGTGAAGATTTGATTTGGAAATTTGCTATTTTTGGCTCAATCTTGCACCAATCACTCTTGCGTGATTTTGACATCTTATACATGAGATCTTGGGCCTCCAACGTGACTGAAATCAAAAGCCTTATGCTTTAGTCCATTAATTTTATATTTATTTAATTTATTGAGTTTAATTGAATAAAAATCAAAATAAATAAAATAAAAATAAAATATAATACATGAATGGGCTTATGGGTCTTTAAACATGTCATGAACATGTTTGGATATGAAAACTTAGGCCCAATAGCTCAGAATTACAAATTTGCTCAATTTGGAATTCATACATTCTACCAAAATTTCCCAACTTGCAATGGCCGTAACTCACTCAATTTGTATATTTTGAAGGTTATCTTAGACTTTTTGAAAAGAACAAGATGTTCTATACAACCTATATGTTGATCATTTTTGCTTTTGAATACTTTATCTTAATGTAAGTTGCCTTGACAAAAAGTGTATTTTCGTTGACTTTTGAAATGACATGTAATGTATTGGCTTATATATATCAAATGATGCATTTTTTGTACTTGATCTTAGAGAGACAAAGTTGTATATAATTGAGTTCCCTTGAAAATGGGATTTGGTTGGGGAAAATCTTATGAAGCATGTGAAAGTTATGCTTGGTCAAAGTTCAGTTGACTTCTCCTAAGGAAACCCTAATTTGGCAACTTTTGACTGTTGATGATTTGAGGGCTTTTCTTGAGGAATCATGATCAACCCTTGATCAAATGATGAATATCACTTAAAAATGTTGATTTTGACCAAAAAGCTTGAGGTTTGACTATAAGTTGACCATAGTTGACTTTTTACCCAATACAATTGATTTTTCATCATCTCAATTGACTGGGAAAACTTGTGATGCAAGGCATGAAACTTGACATGGGCATTATTTAATACATATGAGTGTAGCGGTGAAAATCGGAGATCAAACTATTAATTAACTTGACTCACAAAAAGCAAGAGTCGCTACCGCGCTTTATTATTTCCAAGGGAAAAGGGAAAAGAGCGAAATAAAACCCTAAAATATGCAATGTAAAATAATACTTAAAAGTAATGAAAATACGATGCGTTTTTTGAAAGAGATCTAAAGTTCGGGGGTTGGTTATGCAATGGGAAGGTGTTAGCACCCAATGCATCTGCGGTACTCCGCATGAACCTTTTGAAATATCTGTTTTTTGGTTTAAAATTGTTTGTTTGATTAAAATGATTCGTTTGGCTAAAAGATGGGTATGGACGAGATTTTTGAAGATACGACGACCTAGTGTCGAAGTTTTGACTTAAAAGGTGTGAGTTTGAAAATGGAGTCTTTTGGGAAAATTATCTTGAGTTTAGCAAAATAGTAAACAAACAAAAAATGAAAAAGGGTATTCGCACGATCGGATGAGATGTATTTGATGACGTGAAGTCAACAAATTTAAATTTTTCCCTTGGAGTTAAAACCACAGACAGATAAATAAACTAAGAGTATACCAAACCTTAGGTGAAAATAAATCACAAGCCGACAGCATCAAAACCAGATGTAAGATATTACTCCAAGCAGCGAACAAAAATAGTGCAACACGTGAAAATAAATCACAGACGAGGAACGCGTGGATAAAGCTCGCGGTACCAGATAAGGCTCGAGATATTGAATAAAGCTCACGGTATAAGATTCCCTGCATCACATGAAATATACAGACAAAATTAACAGCATGAAAGAATTATATGCGTCCGTGCGATTTTTAGAAGTTAGTCGGAATTTAAAAAAATAAAATCGCAATGCGATGAAAATAATATTTACATAACCTGAATTTATTTACAAATTAAGTGAATAAAATATATAGACAAAATATTATGAACAAGTATATATTTACAATACCAAATAAAATAAAATAATGAAATACAATAAAGAGGTAAAGGGAGAAAGAAAAAAGTGCAAATGCGCTATGCGAGTATGAATACTTGAAATGAATTCTCGGAAACCTTCACAGTAACAAACACGTTAGTAGCATAAGCGGTATAAAAAATTAAAATGAAACGAAATTGCAATGATTAAAATATGTGTCAGTAAGTATGAAATAAAAAAATGAAATTGTATGACGCATATGAATAAATGAATATTTACACAAATGAAAATCAAGGATTCATGACATTATTCAATGTAAACACAAAAATCAGCATTGCATTCATTATTTCAAGTGTTTTTCATCAAGTAAACTCAAAGGAAATCGTTATTTCAACCACAACGGGAAAAAAAAAGAATCAAAAGTTCACATTGAATTCAAAGTAGACTCAAAGATTATCATGGTTCTTAATTCAAAAAGGAAACGAAAAAACAAAGAACTCATGCCAATATTTCAAACCAAAACCGAAACATAGAAAATTGATTTTGAAACAAACTAACTTAATCGTACCAAATCTGGGCAACAACTAATGAATACGAAACAACGTTCAAAAACTCAATCTCAAAAATATTCAAAACAAGTGAAATGCACAATGATGCCTACAACAAAATTTTAATTTGAATTCCAAATGAATCTCGTCATAATCTCCTTCAAATTTGCTCGAATAACATGAAGAGAAAAAAATCAAGTTCAGTCAAAATCTTAATCGAGCAAATTATTCCGGGAAGCATAACAGTAAACACGATTATCACATCAAAAATGAAAACACAAATCAAGAACCAAGAAAATGATAATTATTCAATTCCAAACATGGTAAACCATGTTCTAAACAACCTTTTACTCCACCAAACCAAATCCGGGCAGCAGCTATCACAATCGAACTTCACAATCAAACCAATTTCACGGAGATTTTCTTATAGTGTAAAAGTTCTAACTCGAATGAGAAACAATTTGGGCTTAAAAATAGCAGATTCAAGACATATTCATGCACATAGATTCAATCACAGCATCAATCCAGAAATGTTTAAGCTATGAAATAATGATGGAAATTGATCTTACTAACTCATAAGTGAAGCGTCTGAACAACAATAGCGTTGAGGGGTTCAGAATTGAACTGAAGCTGAAGTGTTGAGTTGTGGTATCGCGTTGCAGCAACAAATCATTTGCCTGACACCAAGAGTGAAAGCAAGGAGAGCATGTTCACGGGTCTGACCGTCCTTGGAAATACCAGCCTCAAAACCACCAGTGGTGGAATCAATGATGAGAACAGCACAATCAGCTTGAGATGTTCCAGTAATCACATTCTTAATGAAATCCCTCTTTCTCTTTCAGCCTTGAGCTTGTCAAGCACCCAAGCATACTTGAATGAACGCTTGTTCATCTCAGCAGCTTCTTTCTCAAACTTCTCAATCACACGTTTGTCAATACCTCCAAGCTTGTAGATCAAGTGACCGGTGGTAGTTGACTTCCCAGAGTCGACATGGCCAATGACCACAATGTTAATATGAACCTTTTCCTTACCCATAAGTGCTTCTCAAAGGAAAAAGCTAGCCGCAAAGAAAGATGGATATGGTGGATACAGAGGTGGGGGTTAGGCGACTGTGTTACAGATGGCGGCGGTAACGGTGGAATGGGTAAGGGTTTGAGAGAATAACGGTGCAACACGGTGGGGCTTCAGGTCCAACAATAACTAGCCCCACCCTCCATTTCCGACAAAACGACTCTACAGCCGCACCATCATTAACATCAAGGTCTGAGATGCAAGTCGCATTTCCTGAGCTGGCAATTCCTGCATTTCTAGGGGCACAGAATACCGTATCACAGGATGGTGATCGTTGCAGCGCATAGCAAAGTGTGTGTTCACGCCCGCCTCTACCAATGACCAGAATAGCCACCCTTTCCGAATTGTTCTTGGTTTCGACTCCAAGAGAAGCTGATGGGTCAGAACTCTGAGCAGCACATTTGAAAAAAGGTGTGCGTGTGTCAAATAAAGTAAAATGAGGATTTGTTAAGCTTAAATTCAAGGGCTTCGATAAATGAGTAGAAGATTTGGGGGAAAGAAGAGTGGTTTCGGAAGACAATTGGCTTAGAAAATTGATTCTTAATGCATCCATTAAGATTGAAAGAAGTTGCAACATTGAAAGTGATGCAAGACATTGTGCTCAACTGCTCGAAAATTACAGAGTTTTAAGAGATGGAGTAATGGAAGTTACGGAATGAGAGTAATGAGAATGAATGGCATTTGTTATAAGGAAGAGTGAAAGAAGAAATTAGTGAGCGTGAGAAGAAAGCAAAAGTAGAGAATGAGATTAGGGTTGAAAGAAAGAATAATAAATAGGAGGCAAAAATGGATTGTTTGTGTTGGTGAAACAACGATGGATGGAAATTGGAGGTGGTGCACGGAAATTGGATGCTAAGATATGAAGATCGAATGGATGGTTGAAGGATGTTTGGATAGTTTTCTCAAATTGATTATGTTGAATGGTGTTATGTAGAAATGAGGGTAAGAGAAATAGAAGGGAGATTGTGTGATGTAGAAAGGTTAATGAGATAAAGATAAAGGATGCTGTGTTGAGTGAAGAGAGATGGAGATATGCTTTTTTGTGTCGATCCTCAATTTCATCCAACAACCAATGAAAATCAAGCATAGTATATTTAATATTTTTTTGTGACTAAAAGGCCCCTGAATGACAAAAATAAAATAAAACCTGAAAGTATAAAAAAATAACTCAATTTAAAATAATTTTTTTGAATTTTTTCTGAATTAAAAATAAAGACACAAAATGACCGAAAACGATAAAAAACAGACGAAAATTTATCCGATAAAATAAAATGAACACATTAAAATAAACTACATGTCACGAAGATTAAAGAAAAAATATTCAAGAAGTCAAAAATCAAAAATAAAATAATAATAAAAATATCAGACTAAACAGACATTTAAGGTTAAAAACGAGACTTCGAACTGTACCGAAAAAATAAAGCGAGCATATCATCATAATCTACGCGAGACGCAGATTCATAAAATGATCGGTAAAAAGGTGAAAACTTGAAATATTTTTCTCGCTAATTTTTGTATAGTGTCGAATCGCATTTAACAGTCTGTCTATAAAACCAAAATATTTTTATTATCGACACATAAACAACTTGGAGCCATGCAAGAAATGAGTAAACAGATAAAAATGAATGAAGTGAAATGTCGGGTATTTTACAACTGAAAGACAATGCAAACTTTGATTTAAACTGACTTTTTCTGGTCAACTTAAATACGACTAATGATGCAAAATGAAGATATTTACTAATGATTGTGACCAAATGACAAAATATGGCATGAATGTGCGACTGAAAAAATTAAGGGCGAAATTTAGGGTGCAACAGTTGTGCCTTGATGAATCAGTCTTCGGGAATCCACAATCAACTGTACTTCTGGCTTGAGAGACTCAAAACCTTAATTGAGGCGCGACACCTGATGCTCTTGATTCAGACCTGTCTCTTACATGAAACAAAAGAAAACATGAACATACACCTTTGTATGCGATTAGAAATTAGTGATACATAGGCTAAAAATGTTCAAAACACTTGACAAACTTCGCATAGTCAATGCTTGAAGGTGAGATATTAAAACCGACTGTATTTCGTGACCTTGACTTATCTTAAAAATGCAAAAATAAAAATGGGATCTTAGGTCAAAAATTGGGGTACAACAGCTGCCCCTATTTAAGTTTCTTCTATCCGGAGATATCAAGATTGGGATCTTCATTTCGACGAGATTGAAGGGATTTAAATATAGAATACACAATTTTTGGCCTTAAGATACCGCGATTATGTTCATGATATGATATGAATGTAATGCTCTGAATTTTATAGGGAATGACGCCATATGAGACAGACTATGCTGGAGACACCAAGCACATTATACAGTAATCCCACAGAGGAAGAGGTTGTAACTCCACTGGGGAGACAAAGTCATAGACTTCCCATGAGAGACTCTTGAATGATTTACATCAGTATTGGGACTGGAAAAGGTAATGATTGACATTAACATTGTGAATGGAAAAGGAAATGATTGACATCAGTACCGAGACTGGAAAATGATTGACATCAGCACTGTGGCTGGAGATAAACATCTCTGATTTCTAAATTTTACCAAGAACGGTAACACATTTCTTCTTTAACCAAGATATCGCTTGAAAATGATAAAATAACAAACTTCCCCACGGGACTTCTCCGAAAGGGATGCCATTTGCTGAGTAGACATTATTGTTGGGGATACACAAGCTGCTCAAATAAAGAGGCCGCCACTTGCTTCCTTTCAAAGGTGTCAATAACATACAAGCTGCTCATGAAGAGACCGCCACTTGCTGTCTTCAAAGAATATCAAAGCACACAAGCTGCTCATGAAGAGTCTGCCACTTTTTGCCAAAAACCCACAAGCTGCTCATAAAGAAGCTGCCACTTGCTGTCTTCAAAGAAAATCAAAGCACACAAGCTGCTCATGAAGAGTCTTCCACTTGTTGCCAATAACCCACAAGCTGCTCATAAAGAAGCTGCCACTTGCCGTTTTCAAAAAGTGTTGATAATATACAAGTTGTCCATGAAGAGACTGCCGCTTGCTGTTTTTCAAAGATAACAATAACACACAAGTTGCTCATGAAGAGACCGCCGCTTGCCATTTTCAAAGAATATTAAAGCACACAAGCTGCTCATGAAGAGTCCGCCACTTGTTGCCAATAACTCACAAGCTGCTCATGAAGAGCTGCCACTTTCCATCTTCAAAGAATATTAAAGCACACAAGCTGCTCATGAAGAGTCTGCCACTTGTTGCCAATAACTCATAAGCTGCTCATGAAGAGCTGCCACTTTCCATCTTCAAAGAATATTAAAGCACACAAGCTACTCATGAAGAGTCTGTCACTTGTTGCTTATAACTCACAAGCTGCTCATGAAGAGCTACCACTTGCCATCTTCAAAGAATTATAAAGTACATAAGCTGCTCATGAAGAGTCTGCCACTTGTTGCCAATAACTCACAAGCTGCTCATGAAGAGCTGCCACTTGCCATTTTCCATACAAGCTGCTCATGAAGAGCTACCACTTTCCGTTTTCCAAAGAAAAATAACGTACAAGCTACCCATGAAAGGACTGCCACTTGCCGTTTTTTCGAGGTGTCAATAATATACAAGTTGCCTCGGGAAGAGACTGCCGCTTGCTGTTTGTCAAGAGTATCCATAACACACAAGTTGCTCATGAAGAGACTGCTGCTTGCTGTTTCCCAAAAAGATACCCATAAAATATCGTGAAGATATTCCTGGAGGTGAGAACCAATAATTTCATCGGGGATGGACAAATTGCTCATGAAGAGACCGCCATTTGTCATAAAGAAATCAGAAATAATCAAACTGCTCAAATAAAGAGTCAGTCGCTTGTTGTCATGTCGATATTCCAGAAGAAGGTTGTGATAACACTGCTAGGGAATAAAGTTCATCTTCAATGGGGAACCATGAGTAAATCCTTCTTGAGGAGACCAAGTATTTACATTGCAAAATAAATGCACTCTCCATCTAGGTTTCACAGCCTAGAGATATTCATAGGGTATCGTTCACAAGAGACACAGCTCAATCCAAGAATAAATTGGAGAGAAAACAGTCAAACAAGACTCCACCCAATGAGGAAATAACTCAAATGGGGATTTATCCTATCCAGAGATGGGAAAGGAAAGCTAAAGCAAGATTCTTCCACGAGAGTTAACTCAATGGGGAATTAGAAAAGAGGCGCACTTTCTGCTTAAGTTGACACTCTATTTGGAAAGATCAAATACGCTATTTGAATAGACATAACCAAGGTATACGTACTCAAAGACATCAACAAATACAATTGTGCATGCATGATGCAAGTGTGAATGAATAAATGAATGTCATGTGTATGCTGACAAAACAGACAGGGGAGATGGACAGAAAATGATAAGACATCACAGTACAACTCGACACTCGGCTAATCTCAACAGGATGGTAACATTACTGGAGATAAAACACAGGCCATCATTGGAGCAAGGTCCTTTTACAAGGCTTAAATATCTCTAGAGAGGAAGATATTTTCAGGTAGAAAACCCAAAGTCCAGTCTTCTATTGCAAACAATCCATTGAAAGGATAACAACACAAACAAAGTTTCAGCTGGAAAGAAGTCTTGCTTAGCTGGAGATACTGGGAACACCACCCTCTGATAATGTATGAAAAACATATCTTGACAAATCTAGATTGCCCCTGGGATTAATTTTGGATGCCCCAAGTTTACTGCTGATAAGCTGCGTGACGATTCTTGCGAATAACTTCACTTCTAAAATGCCCCAAGCTATATGGTTGGTGAGGAGAAATCGTCTCAAGAGGATTTTACAAAAGACCTGGCATTCACCATGCTCTGGTGTCTTCAAACTCTTAGAGGAATTCATCAAATCTCGACGTGATTGCCCCGGATTGACTGTAGTTGGCACAACAAAGTCTTCAAATTTTTCCCCAATAAAGGGTAAAC